AGATCGTCACCGAGAATACGTAGCCATCTGTGCTGGTATTCCAGTTAGGCGTTCTTTTGGGATGATGGTATAAAAGGAAGTTAGGTTTTCAATATAACGAACTGCTTATTTCTGTATTTTCAAAGCACACTTGCGTCATGATTCCATCAGGCAAGACGCGAACAAAAGGAAATGACAAAGGAGGTGTTTTCATTTAGGCGAAACGTAACGGAAGCATCGATGGATGAGGCACAAACGTTTGATGCAGTGGTTGAGAGAAACTCTGGACGCGTCACCGCGGCGCGATTTTTATCCGTGCTTGGTATTGTCTGTGTCACATAACTACCCAGACTTTGAAACAGCGTTGTTTGAGCTACCATCGTATACGACAACTCGATCGTCCTGTCTGACGATGTCCACCGTGTGCTCTCTACAGCAAGGTGAAGCAGGCACGGTGACTTGCGTGTGAATGAGTTTAAAGTGAGAGCGGACTTGCGCAACATCCACCGTCCTGTAGCCAGCCACGACAGAGTCGAGAAGACCAGACACGGGGAGGGTGCAGGTGAATATAGCGCGGACAAACTCGCACTTTGACGCTCCACTCCAAACGTCCCGGTCCACAACAAACACTTGACTAGGGTTTTGACCAGCAACAACAACAACAGAAAGGACGTGGGTGATTGGGCAGTAATGCACACGACTTGTATACCCAGCTGGGTAACAATCGGGAGATGGCACCCAAAAAAATCTGCCTAACCAAAGCAGCCTGTCTTACGGGACAGGTGGTAATAGGGGTTTTATGGGTGGTGGCTGGTCGGGATGTACGATACTAGCCGACGGAAAGCCTTATTTGAACAGGTGAATGATCGAAGTTGGCCCCCTCTCCGTTCCGTTATTACAAAATGGGTCGCGAAAGGCAGTATAGTGGTAACGGACGAGTGGAAGGCGTATAATCGTCTTCCCTCAGAAGGTTATTTACAGTTCTCTGTTAACCACTCAAAGAACTTCAAGGACCCCACCATCGGACGGCACACTAATGCCATTGAGGCATACTGGAGTAGACTGAAAAGGAAACTCCACGAGGGAGGCCCTGTATGTGGTCGAGCTGTGTGGGCTCACATAGACGAAATACAGTATCGTCTTTGGTTTGGAATCAATGCCATGTATTTGACAGATGCCTGGGAACTGTTCCTGTCCCATGTTGTGCAGACTTGTCCTATTTAAAAGTGATTTTGTTTTGTAATAAACTGCTATAATGCGACTGTATGCCGTATATTCAGGTGTGCGCGTGTAACGATGCGGAAGGTTGGGCAACAGTGACCATCGTCCATGTAACCTACAGCGATGTTCGTTCTGCCAGCCCATGTTAGGCCGTCGCAGAAAGTGCGTGAAAGTAGGCCCGCAAGCGCATCTAGCGCACACTAGGCTGCGAGGGCCATGGTTTGATGAATCACGGCATGGTAGGCAGTCACAAACCTTGAGACTGCCATCAAATTTTAAAATGATAGAAGAGTGTTTAGTTTCAAGTGAGTGCAGGTTGAATCCGCAGGGAGGAAGGTTGCATGAAAGCAGTCTTTCCTCTCATTCACTTCACCAAAAAGTACATTTTCATCAATAACCGTACCTGCAGAATGTCACTCACTTTTCCAACGTCTGTAATCCCAAACATATTTCAGGTGTTCGTATGATTTGTTGCACGTGGTAGTGTATAATCTGCAAGCCCCGGATTCGAATATCAGGCCACGATCTGACTGTCTATGACGGCTCTGGGTTAAGCTCCGAGGGCACAATGGGACAATCAAGCCCCACGGCCTGATCGGTGAAAGCACTCCCCGTGACAGCAAGTATTATCGATCGTGAGCGACAGGACAGCGGGGCTGTGGCTTAATGATGGGGCGTTGGACTTAAAAACGTTCAACTAACAGAGAATACGGGCTCGATTCCCGGGTCATACAGACTTGGAGTTGTGTGTGGCTGGCAGCTGATGGTCACTAAGGCAGAAACAGCCACCCCCCCCCCGGCATTCGGAGTCATTGTCGGTGCTCTTTCCTGCATATATTACTGGTCGGTATGCGACCGTCCGCAAATGGTCTAGATTGGGCTCCAATGCACAAGAGATGAACATGCTCGGTAGATTGGTCGGTGAAGGAAATTCCAAACTACTTAGTATACCTGATTGCAACAGATAAGACGGCAGGCACCTGATTTATAGTGCTTTCGGCTTAATTCTGAACCATAAAGTCTTCCGTCTATGAATTCCAAGTTTTCGGGAACCCGAGGTCAGATTCTGACTGGTTGGCTGATGCGCCAGAAATGGCCATGCGGCCCTCGCTGTCCTTGTTGGCATTCCTTCTGCCCCGCCCTCCTCTCAGAGCTAAGCTCATGGTAGGTTATGCAACGCCCGAGAGCAAACTCCAGGTTTAGGAGAGTATTGAATAAAACACGACCTACTTAAACATGTATATTAGTCAGTCTTTGTGGGCCGTAGATTCTTGGGGGCCTTCGCCATACCGTTACCCCAGCTTGCCCTTTAAACTGCAGTTCTAGGGCGAAGCGAGTTGAGTGTTTTTCGTACTGTGACCTACGCTAGGATTGCACTTAAACAGGCGCCTAAAATCAGTGAAATAAATGCATACCATTTAAGTTTTCGATTAAAGTTTGTGTAATCCTCTACGCGGCCGGAAAGTTGCCCGTTGCAAGGACAGCATCCAGTCGCGTAGTAAACATCTTCGAAGCAATATGCATGCACACCAGTAGTGCAACCTCGTATAAACAACTTCGAAAGCGTAAGGGAACGTGGACCGACCCCACTCCGGTATTCCGGGGGGGGCCTTGTGCTAAGTTTCAGGGGACGCGGGCCGGGGTCAGGGTTAAGGTCTAAGGTAGAAGGTTTACGAGGGAATTTCATATTCTTCTGTCCGACCACAACTTATAATCCAAGCCTCATTTTAAAATTTCAGGCGATTGTTTACACTTTCGCAATATTTCTCACTAGCCAATACAAACTGGCGAAGGTTTATCTAAACAGTTGCCGAGTTCTTTCTTTCCTCAAAGCTGGCCCGCAACTTTCAGGGTGTTTCTGAGGTTAGCGGTATTGGGCACTGGCCGAGTAGAACGACTCAGACTTTCGAGACTACTTTTCTGCTTATTCCATGACTCCGTGTGATCACGCAAACCACAAATTCGCCCAGTCTTCCCGCCCCATTCCACCCCTCAGGAACGGCGAACCGGCAGTCAAATAATCCCTGCCGGATCTGTCCTCCGAAGAAGGAGACGGCCATTTTCACGGGGGAAGGGGGGAGAAGAGAGGGACTTCTGCGGCCACCGCCCCCAGACAGGAGGCAGACCGTCTGGTGAAGATAGTCAGATGTTGGGCTATTTAAGCTGGGGGGCGGTTGTTCAAACCCATGCCCACCCCTCCCGCCAATGCACGCCGATGCAACCACTCGCCCCTATTTCACGCCCCTCCCCCCCCCCTCACCGCCACTCCCTGTTCGTCATTGCCCCGACAGGCAGCTCAGAAACGGAGCAAGTCGATTGGTGCGAGAATCGCGCTATAGGCTCCAAGGTCTGCGACTTTTTTGAGCATGACCCCAGCCTATACAAAAAGCAGGAGAAACAGAATAACTTTCCTTCGGTTTACTTTTTTCTGGTTTGCCAATATTTCGCGTCCTGCAGAACACCGATGAAAAGGTCCGAGCGTAGCGTGAGTCTTGACGAGCGAGACAATAGGAAAGATCAGCTAGTCGTTAGGGTCTACGGCGCAAACTGAATTTATTAACGGGAGGGAGGCCATACATGCAAACTGCGTCGCGAGATACAGAAGGATGCGGAAATTATGTTTGGAGTAAATTCGCTGGTGCCAGATACCTATTGCTACTCTGGTTTCGGGGGTCTTGCTAAGGAACTTCAGAGCAGAAGGTGCATCTAAGGGACGTCTACCCATCGCTCAGGGTCAAGGTGAACAGCACAACCCGAGTTTCAGGGGGAAGCGTTGCGTTTGCTTCGGTATTCTTCTGACTCTGTGCATACTTCCAGTTCGTTTTTCAAAGAAAACTATTAGCTTACTTAATTGGTTTTTGGCTGATTTGAATAATTCACTGGAACTTTAGTAGGTGGGCTAACTCATTAAATGTCAACCGAAATTCCGGAATGCGTCTTCGTTTAGAAAAGATTAATTAAGTAGGGCTGTAAAACTAGTCAGTCTACAACATAATTCCATAATAATTCAGTCATCACAGGATGCCGGCTTTCGAATGAACTTCCTTTCGGCTGTATGTAAAAGCTACACTCGGTAAAAGTGGCTACTTAAGTAGCATGAATTTTTCTCATTGATTTTCGATGCCTTTAAAAGTTCAATCATACTTCATGGAAAACAAGCATAAAAACATTTATTCTTTTGCTCATTCGGTAGACAATTACGTCTTCTTCCAATCTCATACTCGAAAGAAGAGTATAATTCGGTTTTCAGAAACTTTTCAATTCCTGAATAATTTCGAACCTGACCTGCCGTTACACTTGCATTCAGTGTTTCCAAACTTCAAGCCGTATATTTTCCGCGTACAGAAAAACACACAGTTCTCTACGGTAATCAAGGGGGACCATATAGGGTTCATAAAATTTAGCAGTGGATTTGATCCATATTGTTAACTTTACAAGCCACATTGGTAAATGCAGAGACATGACGATTTACGGTATTTAAAAGTCCCACAATTAGAAACTTTTTTAAAGCCGAATTATGTCCCTCCCGTGAGTATCAAACTAGAAGAGGCCGTAATTTTCTACCGAACGAGCAAAAGAATGAATATTTGTATGCATGTTTTCCACGAAATATAATTTGACTTTTAGAGGCATCGAAAATCAAAGAAAAAATGCATGCTACTTAAGTTGTCATTTTTTACAGAGTATAGCTTTTTGTATGCAGCCGGACGTTGGTTCGAAAGCCGACATCCTGAGGTTACTGAAGTATTATAGAAATATAGAATACTGCAGACTGATTAGTTTCACAACCCTTCTTAATTAATCCTTTCGAAACAAAAACGCATTTCGGAATTTGGTTGACAGTTCATGAGTTAGCCCAGCTACAGTAATTGTGAAAAATCGGCGACCACGGTGAGACTCGAACTCACAACAGCAAGCCCAAGGCTTGAGTAAGCCAACGTTCTAACCATCTGAGCCCCACCGGGAGTTGTGGATTTAATATTATACTTATGTCCAGTTACCCGCCCACTGGACTGAGATGGTCACCATGGCCAACACAAAACGGGCGAGAGGATCCCTTGAGGCTTAGTACTCCTATCCGGACAGTACTAACCGCCATGTTGGCCTAGACATCCATTAGAAGGGCTCGCAATAATTGCTCACTGAGCCCTGCCCGCATGCCGCAACAGCGACCGATAATGCAGCCGCTCACAGCTCCACCTACCTACCATCCTCCCTACCCCTACACCACAAGGAGCCGTAGCTCTCCTCCCAATTGCCAACCGCGCTCAGGAACCTGCCTTGACCCTGTGACCACATTACCCTCAACGCTAATGGCCTGCCTGTCGGTGTCTGTACTTGCGAGTCAACTGGTCTAGTGTGAACGACTTACTTTCACCGTTGTCGTTTTGTCTGAAGACGGGATGGTGTCAACAGTAGGAAAATCATAAGAAAAATCGATTTTTTCCGGAGAAACCGTTGTTTCTGCAACACACAACGGCAAGTCCCACTGGGAGTCGTGGGTTTAATATTATACTCATGTCCAGTTATCCGCCCAGCCTACTGCAACCTATAGGATCCACCAATTCTGAGAGAGCCCGCAGACTGTCCATACAGTTGGGGCCCCATAACTCAGGGGGTTAGAGCGCTGGCCGTGCTCAAGCCTTGCCCTTCCTGTCGTGGGCTCGGATCGCACCAAGGCCGCCGAGGTTTTCACAACCGGGTCGAAAAAAAAATATCTGCTTCTTATCAAACGTTCTGATAAACTGAAAAAAACTGCAATTCGAAGTCAGCTAATACTTAACGTCAGCGGTTTTTGCTAGCCATTTCATAGACACATCTATGATTATCTATGATTAGCAAAGGGCATTTAAAAGAGAGGAGGATCTGGTAGAATTATACTCTGGATGGGAATTATCGGCGAGGTCTGGTTCTGCAGCCCCACTTGATTGATACCATAGGGTAAACTTCCTAAAACAACTTTAGTAGATGCGAGTACGCTGACTTTACAAATATTACGGGTCTCACCTTTCTTGCCATTTTAATACAGCAAGTAACTGTGCCACGGGGGGAGGAGCGCTTATACAGCGCGTGACCTATCTCAGGAAATCTGATAACGGGAACTGATGCGAGAATTGCTGGACGTCTTTAACATTGCGCATTTTGTTCGCTCATCCACTTCTTTCAATAAAATATCCTTTTCCTGTGCAGAAATTGTGTTTGCATAATTACTCGTTGCAATGCGACTTCCAGCCGGGACTCTGGATCGATACCCAAGGTACAACGTGGTAAACACGTCCCCTAACCTGATCGCTGAGCATCCTTTTTGTAGCGACCTAGACGAAAGTAAGCCTCCTGCCTCTGGCACCCACGCTGTGCTAGGAGTCATGTGATCACAACTCCCAAGCGTCAGAACATTAGTACATTCAGCCCCGCGAAGAGCCAACCACAGGCGTCCACAAACTGCACTAGCAACCAATCAACTGTCCAAGATAACAGTGACTGACTCTCACGTGATGCTTATTAACTCACGCCCACGCCACCCTAGCACACGGGCCTAGAGCCGGCCCCGGGTTGGGGGCTCCGACAGCCATCAGCATCTAATATTCTTTCTGGTCTTTCTCCCTCTCCTCCAAAACTAGATTGGGTCCATTGTGGAGCTCTGAGTACACACGCTTACCACTCTAGACGTTACATCCACAAGACAATGCCCAGTAGCTTTGGAGAGGTATGAATCTATCACGGGCTCTTTCCGGGCAATGAAATACATTCGCCGCGCACTCCTTCGACTTGATAACCCTATCCGGGTGATGTAAATCTTCGGTAAAATGCGGATTTGCCCTAACTCGACAGTCAGAAGGATGCATACTGTTTGGAAATTATTTGTTTTAGTTCGATGTTACCATAAAAAACGAGAGGCCTGCGATCTGGCCTCTGGCCTGACGTCTCTGGTAGGCGGTTGAAAGGAGGACCCCGCCTTCTAGCCCAACCTTCTTCGTACATGTCATCATACAAAAAAAAACTAGACTCCGGGGAGTAGTTACCTCAAATAGGAACTGGCACAGGAATTGCAGCAGAGTGTAGTTGGGCGCTGGCAGGGTCTCTAGGATGGAAATTATGGGCTGCAGATCCTGCCCATCGTCAATACGGTAGCCGGTGGCCTTCAGACGGTCGTAGAAGTGGAAGGGTATTACGGGCTCAGGCAGCTCGCGGAGGTAGAGCTTGAGGAGACCGGCCGCGGAGTGGGCGTCGTGGACACCGGGCTTGAGGATGGGACTGGGTTCGGCCGAATCGTAGGCATCGGCCAACTCCTGTATGGAGTGCTGAGTACCGCATTTCCTAGGGGAAGGGCAGTTAAACGAGCATGCGTGTGATTGTGGCTGACAGTGTGGGGGGCGGGGATGAGTTTCGCCTCATTGCTAACCCAATGACCTGGGTCGTGGCTGGCTGACGAGACTCGATAAGTCGGAAGCGGTCAGTCCCTAGCGCAGCATGTCAGCATTTCAATTGTTATATCACTAGGTTAGCCGTCGAAAAACAAGGCAGGGCTCGAGTTGTCAACATTTCACACCATCGGTGACTACCGATTTTTGTTCGACTACTGTGGAACATTAAGTAGTATAGGCGAGAACCATTCAAGAAACAGGATGACCTCTTATAATGAATTATGCGAAGTGTAATTAAGAGTCCTGAGTTGACGTACTAGGCAATGGTAAATTAAAAGCGTGGCAGGCAGTACCTTGTTGACTTTCCACTTAAATTGAGACATCAAAGTAAGATGAAAATGTACGATTTTTCGTTGGAAATCAAAACCCAAAAACGACAGCTATGGCACAAGCAGATTAATCTTACTAAAAAAAAAAACGGGGAACTAAAAATAGCCATTTCTGGCTTATTAGCCGTCGTCAGCTACTCATACCCAATCCCGAGTTGTGCAATACCTGGGGCTCGATCCCGCAACCTGTTGGTTAGAAGTCCAACGCCCCTAATTACTGAGCCAGCGGCTCGTTGTCCTGTCGGTTGCGATCGAGATTATACAATGGCGGAAGGACGCAAACTGATCAGTAGTTCCGTAACAGGATCGGCGAGCGCCCCCTCCACCATCTAGCCTGTGGCCAGGTAAATAAAAATGAACCAGTGAAGTGGCACCTCACTGGCACAAAACTCTGCCTTCGGCGCGTCCTAAAACAAAAGGATTGCTGAGTTGCCCCACAAAGAGCTTCGCTGTACAGGTACCAGAGCAGTATGTTTGGCCAAAATGGCTAACGGCGCGCGCTTATCCGACCGTGCTGAGTCCACGCAAGTCCATAACGACTGCCCTAAATGTCTGTAGTGGTACGCCTTAGTCGTTGGCCCTCACGTCGCATAAGTCAACGTGCCTAATCCCAGCAGTAGTTAGTCGACAGACTCGAACAGTCGACTGGTGAATGTGCGAGAGGAGTAAGGTCACCACCGGAGAACTAATCCTCACGGCCAAATGGCGCATCCTTCACCATAACAGAACTGAGGGGCTTGTGTGTGGCACGCATAGACGGGCTGTTTAGCTCCGATCGTCCTGAAATTGTTTGCCGTCGGGACAAGGTGGATGAGGGGAGGACGCGGGGGATGATGAACCAAAGGGTTAGGTACCGTAAAGCGGATCGCCCTTCCCTCGTATAAGGGATGGCCCCGCCGTAAATTCCAGGTGGGAGGGTTAGACCTAGGGTTGGGGTAAGGAGGATTAGGGTTAACTTTTTAACGTTAGTGCTAAGGTAAGAGCCAGACGGATAAGTGCCAGAATTAGGGTTAAGGTAGGGGCACCGAGGTAGGAAGCATGTAGCAAGAGGCCACCGGCAGTACGGGCGGGCGCTCCACATTTCCGTGTCTGATCAGTACAAGTCTGCCTTCTGAGGCCGAAAGACCCACTGTCACGACATGAAACGTCTGGAGTCGTTCACCTGATCTGGTGCAGTTGCGGACGAAGCAACTACGTCGGAGAAACTGAGAGATTACTCCGTACGCGAATTGCCGAGCACGCAGTAGCAGCAGTGAGTCGGGGGGACGATAACTCTCAAGTGGCGGCTCATCCGACAGGACCCGGCCACGGCAATTAACGACCCAGACGCGGACTGACAAGACACCACCGGATCGTCTGCGATCGTCTCTGACGATGCATCCGAGTGGGAATCCGAAACGTCAGGCCGATATATTTCTTGTTCCAGTGATCACATCTTCGTCTTCGCAAGTCATCAGTGTTACGCCCACTCCGTCAGACACGCCGTGGATGCCGTCGCCTGCGAACTGTCAGGATCACTAGCATGGTTGCTAGGCCAAAAACGGCTGCACCCGCAGCCGACAAAAGAGCGCGCGCACCCTAGGCGATGATGCTTGTTCGTTGGACAGTCGCTGTACGTTTCGGCTCAGCAGAGGAGGAGATTGCTGGCTAAAGTGCAAGGGCAAAGTCACCATCCACCCACGCAGCATTTCAGACTTATGTCGGGTGTCGCGCGCGCAGCATTCGCTACGTCTCGTGACATTTTTATCGGATGACAAGTTGCCTGACCGCTTGCCACCGCATGACACGCGTCTGTCCACCTTTTGGACCAGAGAGCCCGGCTTCACCGAAGGACGTCCCACTAAACACCATCTTCACAGTCAGGATGGCACGCAGACTCCGTCCTCCTGGGCTTACTTGTCGTGTGACAGGTTAACGTGGTTTGGGGAAGACATGGCTACCAGCAGAGGCTGGTCACTCTACACCGTCCTCCCTCTGCGTATAGGCAATGACTAGCACTGGGGAGGGTGGGCAACATCAGCGTTCCCGCCAGCCCGCCTGGAACATCAGGTCAACAGCAGACGCTGACCGGGTTTTCAGCGGATCTCATTGGAATATCGCCGTGAGGCATCGCAGCAATGACAGGAGGTAAAGTCGCCGGAATAGGGGGGGGGGGGGGGGGGG